TGTTACCCCAAGTATACGTATATGGTCAATTCAGTATATGGTCTAGGAAGATCCCAGGGACAGTGTGTCTGCCTTTTCATTACGCAAAATTCTTTTGGGTCCTGGTACCCAAGATGTCATCCACTTCTCCTTTTGTCTTTTTTGGATCCATTCTGTGATGGATGATTCTGTGTTCGTTTTTATAATCCCAAGAATAGGTTCAGGACCTGTATATGGTCTAGAAGATCCTATGGACAGTGTGTCTGCCTTTTCAATACCCAAAATTCCTTTCTGTCCTGGTAACCAAGATGTCATTAGGTCGTGTTTCCCCAGGTTTTAGAGATTTTGGATGCATTTAATGACTAACGTTGATGTGAGTTTTTACAAGCTAATGATTTAATAGCTACTGGGATATCCGATCTTATTTTGTTAGGGTAACCAGTTATCAAATTTCCCAAGGGTAAAGCGTTGATGGCATGTACTTTAGGTTGAAACAAGGTGTACTTCCCTGAAAATTTGGGCTTGTACAAAAAAATACCTGATCCGGTTCCTTCATTTGCTTTGGACCCACCCATCTGTATACCATATCATTGTATTTGAGTTCTCCTGAATTCTTCTTCAATTCTGTAGCCTGTTGAGACCTTCTAGGTCTTAGTCTTCATTTATTCAGTCCCTCTCTAAGAATGAGTGTTTGATTTTATTAATTATTGCTGCGTGCTGAAGTCTTTAATTCCCAGCCAATTTGATTGTTTCTGGAGCCTAAATGAGCGTTTCCTTATTTCCCCTCTTATAAATATTTCCAATGGAGGTAGGTTATCAGTATTTCTAGTGCAATGACTGAATTGTTTTCATGCTTCTGTAATACATTGGTATGCTAGGCTTTGTTCGCTGCCTAAATGATCGGGTAGCTTGTTTTTTCTAAGCTTTGATCCGGATTAATGAGCCATAGGATAATTTGGGTCTCATTACGACTGCCAATGGGCCATTTTTTGTTTTATTCTTTAAGACCGCGAAATCTGACTTGTTTTGTCGTAAAAGGGTTCCATTTCCGTTCTCGCAAGAAAGTAGCCCAGTTACTATTTGAAGAATTTCTTAGCAAAGGATTACCATTCTATCAAATACGTCTTCGGGTCAGTACAACCTTAATTTCACTATGATCTCTATCTCCATCTCTTGTGATGAAGTTTAGAAAAACGTTCGTTCAATTTTTATCACACGAAGAATGGCGAGGGGAGACTACTGGCTTCAAGCCTGTCGAACTTGTGGTAAATTGTGATTTAATTTTATTTGCGTTTCTGAATATTATCTGTTAATAACAAGGGCTTACACGGATTACGATACAAAGTACATTTTCCGACTTAGTATGGGCCATTAAATTCTAATAAAATATGCAATATTAATGAATTATTCAACACGGACACATCGACTAGAGATTCCAGGGATGGAGAAAAAATTCCATTTTTTAAATGAGAAACACCTTGAGATTACGACTCATAATTTTTTATTCATGATTCCTGTTTGCTAAGAAACGGCACAGGTCACGCTTCTTTATTTTGAAAAATGTCTAGGATCACTTTCACAACACTGTGCACTGGAATGTTAATCCGTAAGCGGAATTTGGAGTTAATACTAGCTTCTTCAGGAAATATGGATGGAAAGATGTGAGTTCTTTGGTGTTTAGGTTTCATTGCTATTAGGACTTTTATCCTGAATGTTTGTGTGCCAGAGACGAAGGATGGCTTGTTGTTTTTTGGTATTAACTTGGTAAGTACTGTATTAAGCGGGGAACACGCACGATGCTACCCGACGCCATGTCTAGAGAAATTGGTAAGGTGTTCACATCTATCCGACGTCAAGCGCACAGCGTGTATCACAAATCAGTATCACAATTGCAAAGCTTCTTTTGTTTTTAATGCATTATTTTGAGCAAAACCATGTAATAAATTTTTAGCTGAATTTAATTGTTTTAAATAAAGTTATTCCTGAGTTTTGATAAACTTTCTGCCTAACCATTATAATTAAATAATTTTTATAAAAGGTTTTGATTTAAATTTTTGATCTCATTTAATTTGGGTTATATTAAAATAAGAATGTTGTAATTAATATAACGACAAAATTACATATACATAGTCTGAAATGAACTACAAAAAATGTAGGTGTCCTGTTCTGACGCTACTCGTCGAAAATGGTGCAATTGAATGAGCAAAACATGAAATAAATTGTTAGTTAAATTTTATGAGCAAAACGGTGTAATAAATCGTTAGTTAAGTTCATTAGTTTTTGGTTGAGATAAAAAATTCAGTGTCACGAGCGGGATTCGAACCCACGACCTCTCGGACACCAACTCTCCATCTCAGCCTACAACCGTTCGAATTTGCCCTTTTTTGCCATTTTCAAACGTCGTGTAATCAGGATTCGATTCTCAGCGACTTAAGAAATGGCCACGGGGAACTGTTAGTAAAGTGATACTTCTTTTACTTATTAAATATTAATCCATTTATGTTTTAGTGGTCAATTGACCAAGTTACTTCTTTCAATTAATTATTCTTTTTTATGTAAGGTTTATAAAAACGTCAGTTTCACGAGCGGGAAGTCACGACAGCTGAAGTGGTTAGAGCAGCGACGTATTGAGCCGAAGGTCGTGGGTTCGATTCCCGCTTGTGACACAAATTTTTCATTTTAACCAAAAACCTTCGATTAAAATAATAATTAATTGGAATAATTAATATGATCGATTGTAGCCACTAAACAAATATGGAATAATTTAATAACTTTATTTAGAAATCGTGAGGTGCCGTCTGGTGTGATGTAGGTTTCAGAAAAACATTTTCTTTATCGTGCAACGTTTCGATCTTTATTGAGATCATCTTCAGGGCCTGGGATTTACAAACATTGTTTACATATAACAATTACATTTTGGATGTGGAAAAGTGAATTTATACAATGCANAGAAATACTTTGATTGAATATATAAATAAAAAATATATTTTGCATTGTATAAATTCAATTTTCCACATCCAAAATGTAATTGTTATATGTAAACACCGTTTGTAAATCCAGGCCATGAAGCTGATCTCAATAAAGATCGAAACGTTGGCACGACAAAGAAAATGTTTTTCTGAAACCTACATCACACCAGACCGCACCTCACGATTTCTAAATAAATATCGATTAATGGTCACTAATCACCACACATAATTTAATAACATTTAACTAACAATTTATTATGCGGTTTTGCTCGTAAAATTTAACTACCAATTTATTACTAGATTTTGCACATAAAATTTACAAACAATTTATTACAAGATTTTCCTCATAAAATTTACTAACAATTTATTACAGATTTTGCTCGTAAAATTTAACTAACGATTTATTAGACGGTTTTATTCGTAAAATTTAATTAACAATTAATACACGGTTTTATTCGTTAAATTTAACTAACAATTTATTCCACTGTTTTATTCGTAAAATTTAATTACCAATTTATTACAAGGTTTTATTCGTTAAATTTAACTAACAATTTATTCCACTGTTTTGCTCAAAAAATTTAACTAACAATTTAGTACACGGTTTTTCTCGTAAAGTTTAACTAACCAGGTTATGATCGAGTATCGTCGAGTACAGTCGAAGAGAAGTGAACCGAATACTGATATTTTTTGTAGTTCATTTCAAACTATATGTATTGTATATTCAAACTATATTGTCTACCGTTGTTATGATTATGGCTATACATCTAATACAAAAAAAATGTATTTTTGTCTGTATGCCTATTTTAATGAAACCAACTTAAACGAGATCAACTATTCTACAAAGCACTAAATAACTTTATTTAAAATAATTAAATTTAATTAACACTTTATTAATGGTTGTGCTCATATATTTCACAAACAATTTATTACATTGTTTTGCCCATAATAATGCATTACGAGCAAAAAAGGCGTTGCGATTGTGATACTGATTTGTGATACACGCTGTGTGACTGTACATGGATAATATAATTAAGAAGGTAAAAATTAAAATATGATTATTCAGAAATCCTGAACCTGAGTGCCTCTCCCCTCAACACGACACGCAAGAATGGCACAAATACACAGAAAACAATTACTTTGAGCCCTGAAGATGAATTCAATAAAGATCGAAACGTTGGCTCGATAAAGAAAATATTTTTCTGAAACCTACATCACACCAAACCGCATCAATAATAATCATCGACTAACGTTCACTAATCACCACACAATTAAAATATGGTTGTTAAGTTATTGTCCTTAGTTCGGAACTCTACCTGGATGAGAAGTTCGGATAAGTTACTTCAACCCGTCTTGGCACTTTTGCAATTAGGCCGCCCTTCTTTTTTTCCGTCTTGGAAAAGATAATTTATTAAGCCAGGGCCCTGGTTGGAAGAAGATTGGCAAATCGTCCTTTCACGACAGGTTTTCCCGTAAGGAATCAATCTCAGGACAAAGCCAGACCCACTTCGGTCGTTAATTAAGTTTTTAACAAGTGTTCCGACTTAATCAATTTCCTTTCCTTTTCTAAGCATATATTTCTTACAAAATCAGAAAGTGGTAATGAGATTCGGTTGTCGTTATAATAAATCAAAATCTATTGCTAGGAACATCCGTCATAAAAAAATTGGCGTAACTTCAGACGCCACGTCGAAAGTATTCTTCTCTAATTGATGCGTGTATAAAGGACTGTGTTTCTGTTGTTTTTTTACAAGATCCCACTGTGGTTTCCCGGTCCATTGGCTCAAATAAACGGCAACACCGCCGGCAGCAGTGGGTAAAAACCTATTTTCGCATTCGGACTCTTCTGACGACAAAGAATATCGGGGGGAATGCCGTTTAACAACTTTTTCACCTTTTGGACGGTTCGTTAAAAGTAACGGCACCAAAAATTGTATGAACCGGCCGAAAACAGGAGCCGTGGGAGGCCACGGCGTAAACGAGCCTGCGGGGTCATAAATAAGTACTTAAGCAGGATGCGAACTTAAATCTACTAGCTAACTTAAAAGTACTCACGGTTCTGCAGAAAAATAATGTTCTTACCTGTAAAAGAAAAAAATCAAAATTACAAATAAACACCAACAAATATCATGAAAGCAGAAAGATCAAAAGCGTCAATAAGCTAAGCATTAAGTACTACATAATCTAAAAAAAATGATGATCATGATCATTAAATTTTTCAAAATCGATTATATTTAAACAAAAACCCCAAGTCAAAATTTCAAAAAATGTAAATGCAATTAATATGTACGTAGATAAAATATTAAATAAACTGAGGACTACATAAATACGTGCTATGTTTTCTGGTATAAATTATTTAACAAATAGATAAAATAAATTGACGGATGGGTAGACCAATAACTGAAGATAGACGGATAGATCAACTCAACCGACTGGATAGGTCAAGATAACAAGACTTGCTCAATCTGCGGCATATTTTTCATAATTATGCATTGCAGATAATGCACATTTAAAGACACATATACACAGAAAACAAACACTTTGAGCCCTGAAGATGATTTCAGTAAAGATCGAAACGTTGGCACGATAAAGAAAATGTTTTTCTAAACCTACGTCACACCAGACCGCATCTCACGATCTCCAATTAATCATTACCTAACGGTCACTAAAGACCACACGTTTTACCGTCTGTTCGGGAAAATATGAATTCCTCTCTCGGAAATGCAGGAAGGGTTTTAGGTTTTTCAACAAATAAAATTAGAGATGTACTCCGGACTTTATATTAAGCCGTACCGTGTCGTCTCGTCCAGGGACTTTAGGATTCTGATTACGACATGCATCTAACGTTCCTTGTACAAATGTCGATTTAGGAGGCTGAAGAAAACGTTCTTCCATACATCCTATGGACTGATGAATCCAAGTTCACCTCTAATGGCGTACTGAACCGCTGGAATTTTCGAACGTGGGCAGAGGAAATTCGAGAATTTTGTATTCTTGTCATCATTAGGTGGTTAACAACGTTTGATGTGAACTAACAATATTAGAGATGTTCCTTTGCAACAACGACAAAGAATGATTCTCCAGCTTGATGGATGCCCCGTCCACAATTCTTTGCAGGTGATATCTTATTTGAATCATCACTTCCGGGATAGGTGGATAGGACATTATGGCGAGATCTGTTGGCCTCCTCGGTCACTCGGTTTAACTCCACTTGACTATTTTCTGTGGGGCCAGTTAAAAACCAGTGTCTACGCCAATCATAACCTAGCAACCTCAGTTAAAGAAATGCGGCAAAAGATAGAAAATTTTTGTCAATCAATCTCCTCTGACTCTATCGCTCTGAGCACCGGTGAAGAGTGGTTAAAAAGAGAAAATCTTAGCATTGTTACGCAAGGCTGGAAGTTCAAACATGAAATATGATTAATAAGTAGCAAACCTAATGACTGTTTTTTTCCTTTCAAACTCTTTGCCATAACTTTGTCATTTTTTGATCAATTTAAAATCCTATTCCACCACTTGTGTGGAATATATTATATTCTAAACTAGGTTTATCACCCGACATTGACCAGGGTAATAATAAAATGTGTTAATTTGAGTGTACGTATTACTATTTTTGGAGAAAAATTATACAGGCTACCTCAGGCGCAGTTCAACTTCAAAATTTCAAATATGACCCTTTATATCCTGAAATGTCATTTTAAAGGATTTGGTACCCTGCAATATTATAGACAATTCACTAGTTTTCGTGATCCGCTTGAACAATTAATAACTTTCAATTAATTAAGGTTTTGAGTTGAGATAAAAAATTCAGTGTCACGAGAGGGATTCGAACCCACGACCTTCGGCTAAATTCGCCGCTGCTCTACCAATTGAGCTATCGTGACTTCGATCCACTCGGACACTAATTTCCCCTGTCAACCTCACCTTTTGAATATGAAAAATGGCAAAAAGGAGAGAAAATTGAAAAGGTGGGGTTGAGATGGGAAGTTAGTGTCTGAGAGGTTCCAAGTCGCGATAGCTCATGTGGTTAGAGTAGCGCCGTATCGAGCCGGAGGTCGTGGGTTCTAATCCCGCTCTTTTTTATCTCTTTAAAACCTAAATTAATTGAAAGATTATAGACAACTAAATTTTAAACGTATGATTTGTGTTTTTGATAGCTGCATTGGTTGAAGAGAATTCAGCCGGGCCACCTAAAAGAACACCCTGCAGAAACTTGTTTAGATATTTACATCTATCCATAGAAAGATGTATAGCTAGGAATTTATTTGTGAGCATACAATAGTTTTGTTTTTATGGTCTTTATGGATTTTTATTGTTTCTGAAAGGCAAATGACAAATTTAAAGGGACGAACATTAAAAAGAGACATTTTGATTTTGTTTCCCGAGGGTCCATTTCAACATCAACGTTGACAGAACCGCAATAATATCTCGTAGGGTCGGCGTGAAAGTGTCAGGGAAGAACGGCGCTCGGCGGAGGGCCGGGTCAGATAACGGATGTGAAGTGAGTGTCGCACCTCTCACTCGGGCCGGGGCTGCTGATCGGAAGGCGTGGGACGCCGGCCGAATTGGAACACTCTCGTCCAAATCGACGCGAGTACAACGGCATTAAATCAGGGTCAGTCGGGCGAAACCCAGGTACATGCTCATCACTTGCGACATGCAGCGATAAAACAGAAATGCGCATTTCTCCAAAAGCATCTGTTGAAGATTGGAAATTACCGTCCTCTGGACACTTCCGGAAAATCGCCTCCGCCCCTCGACTCCAGCCAGATACAAATGGGGTCCGCTTAGCCAAGCTCAACCACCTGGAACTGGCCTAGAAGAAAACTTCACCCTTTAGGAAAAATTGGGTTTACTTTATATAACTACATTCTATTTATTTGTTTTAAAGTTTAACAACTGATTCTGTCAGAATAATCAAGATTAGGGGGATTCTGTTTAGAAACATTTCATTATCTCAACAACATGATAACACAACGTCCATGCACTCGGGGGATCGTTTCAGACAATTATTTTCTGAAAAATATGACATAATAACAAAGCTCTAATTAATCCAAACATTGAAGATTTAATTAAAGAACTGTACTTTATTGGACCTAGAGCTTGAGATCTTGAGCTCAAGTGGTAGAGCAGCGGCGTATTTAGGCGAAGATCGTGGGTTCGAAACCCGCTCGTGACACTGACTTTTTTATCTCGACCAATACCTTTTATAAATATTAAATGACTGAAAAATGTTAATTGGTCAATCGGACCACGAACTGTAATGGGTTATAAACTAAGTTGAAGATTGAAGAATCTAAAATGGAAATTTTTCGATTTCCGCCAAAATAATCAGTGTTGCCTATACACGGACAGAAACAAAGCAGGAGCAACACTGCGTCCGCCCTATAAACTCACGGGATTTCCTACTAACCTCCAACAAGTTGGTATTGCTTTGAAACAAGTGGGCCAGAAAGTGTGAAATTATAAATTGATGTTACAAACTATGTTGAAGATTGAAGAATCTAAAATAGAAATTTTTCGATTTGCGCCAAAAAAATCAGTGTTGCCTATACTCGGGCAGAAACAAAGCAGGAGCAACACTGCATCCGCCCTAAACTTACGGGATTTCTTACTAACCTCAAATAAAATTGCTTAAGTTGGTATTGCTTTGAAACAACTTTGGGCAAGAAAGCGTGGAATTATAAACTGATGTTATAAACTATGCTGAAGATTGAAGAATCCAAAATGGAAATTTTTCGATTTGCGCAAAAAAAATCAGTGTTGCCAATACACGGGCAGAAATAAAGCAGGAGACACATTGCGTCCGCCCCAAACCCACGGGATTTCCTTCTAACCTCAAATAAAATTGCTTAAGTTGGTATTGCTTTGAACTTTGGGCAAGAAGAAAGCGTGAAATTTGGAAAATGGAAATTTTCGATTTGCACCAAAGAAATCAGTACTGCCAATACACGGGCCGGAAAAAACTGCGCACGCCAAACATTTAACACTGAAGGAAACTTAGTGTACCCGCCCTAAAATTGGGGGGGGGGGCTTAGCTAACCTTTAGGAAATTTCCTAAATGTAGTGTTGCCCTGAGGCACCTTTGGGAAAGAAAGGTTAATAGGCTTGTTTTATCTCTCGAGTCGGTAGTAACTGTTACATTGTAGCAGGGCTGACCTACTCATTCGACTTTTCTTCCCTTTCCTGTTTATTTAGGTTATCATTATTTCTTGATTGTCGTCTTCACGCGAGCTGGATCCCGTTGGCCGGCACGAGTATGGAATTGACCGTTCCATGTTTCCATCTATTCCCTAGTGGAAGTTGTTTTTGTAATCTTTACACCAGGTATTATTGATAGACTTTCGCCGAACTGAAGAAAGTGTGTTGAAAAGGCCAAAGGGCTAGGAACAGCGATTTGTATGTGAACTGACCATGGGTCTTGACCGGTTTTTGAAGTTTTTAGTATTTTGATCATAAGTTATGATTCTTGTATGATTCCGCCAAAAACCTCTTCCATTCCAACGTTTGAAAATTATCGACTTTCTCTGAAAAACTGGCGCTAAAGAGGAGTTTCGTTTTTTACAATTTGTGGTCACATTGCTCATGTTTTTTACGTAAGTCAAACCGATTGAAAATAATTTCCAATTGTTCTTTACGTGGCATTTAATGTTTCTATGTGTTTCGCTCTCTCGAAAGCATAAATTTACACTTAATGCATTTTCTGCTTTCCACGATTTTTCCACGAACAAAATTACAATAAATTTTTATCGTTGCTATTAAATGAAATGTTGTTTTTTGAAAATATCAAAATTTCGTAATATTTTGTAATATTAATGTAATATCTAAGTAATATTTTGACATAAAAATTAAGATAAAATTTTCAAAATTTCATGATAGATAAGCCTTGCCTTTTCAGGCAACAATTATGATTAAATTAACCCTATTCTTCTACCAAAACAAACTGATCCAAATCCACACAAAACATGTCAAAATCGAGCATTAATAATTCAAATTTAAAAATTAACATCTATCCCTAGAAGAAATATGAAAACCTCGGTGACACCATTTGACCCCGATCTTTTTTATTAGATCGGATCGAT